TTTCTTAGCTATACGAATTTTCAAAGTAGCGGCCCCTTTCCCCTTCTCTTACTTTCTTAAGCTGTCTTAATGTATTAATGTCTTCTTCAAACTTCAGAAACTATCTACAGCTGTTCAAAGGATTTTTAAAAAAACTTGAATAAAATTGTGCAAAAAATTGGTAAATACAGTGATACCTAAAGATGCAATATCAAAACAGAGGGACAATTTCTTCCCGTCACGGAAAACAGAAAACAAAACATATATATTCGTTTGCTTTAAATGGCACCTTGGCTTAAATGTTATTTGTCTTTATCGCCACATTCCAAACGCTAGTTTCTTTTACTCTAATGAAATAAATAAGTGAAACTAGTCAGTGTAAACTCACCAAACAGAGCAAAATAGAATGAAAACAAACCTTTATTAATTATTTTTTACTTTAACTCATAACAGTATCCCGTGGATTACGCACAAAAACCGTTTTAAGAGATAGTATTTCAACAAAATCGCTCAGTGTTTCTTTCGCCTTAATAAAGAGGATACCAAAACCTGCTATGCTTATGCATACGATGTGCCGATGTAATGTTTTTCCAATGTTGTTTTGCGTCAAACATAGCCTGCTAAAAGAAGAGTAACTTTATATTCTTTTTACTATCCAAGTTACGGGGTCAAACGTCCTGAAAAACAGACGTGCAACATCTACTTTTCCCAGACTGAGAGCGGCTTCACCCGGCATAATGTTGGGCATGTGAAGAAAGAAAGCCGTAAAATGAAAAATAGAACGCAGAGCATTTGGACTTCATTCCTAGTGGACAAATTATATGTCACAAAAAGTAAATATTGCAAGATTGCCACAAGAGACATGAAAACTTTAATTAAACTTTTAAATGAAATAATTAAAAAAGTGCAGTTAAATCTGAAAGAGTATCAGTCAGATTTAAAACGGAGTTGAGTAGTCGTCCAAAGTAGGAACTTTCTTTTTTATGGCACGTGTTTATAGTTCAACAGAGGTGAAATATTCTACCATAAGGAACAACGGAAGTCCGACATTTTGTAGCTTGCGTCGGCAAGACATTGGAGATATTGATAAGGAAACAAGATATCCGCGATGGAAAAGCAGCATTCTGAAACCGAAATTAGTTCCTTTCGAGGAAGGAGAAACACAACAAGAATTTCGGTCCGATCCATCGTTTGACAATCAACAAATATTGTATCGAAGACCAAGACTTGTTCGAGGTTGGTATCTTGGAAAAGAGCCGCTCGTGTATCGCCAACAATCAACACCTTTCCGATTTAGTTTTAATACAAGGAACAACAAAGAGGCCACTAGGGAAGGAGGCAATGAAACAAAACATATTCATAAGAGGGCAACCCTCGTATATCCTGAAAGCATGAATGTGGCAATCTGCAATTTACAAACAAGGCCTGTTAAACAGGAGAAAAAATTGCCTACGGGAACAGTTAACATGCCATCTGCTGTATCGAAAGGAAAGAGCACGAAAGTCCATTCTAACCGAAGATTGAACAAAAATAAAGCCTCTACAAGCAGCATATTAACCTCTGAGAAAGGAACGTCCGTACATAACGATAAAGATTGGAAAGACTCTGATCAAATCAGTAGGCTGACGAAGAAAGTACATCGACAAAATGACAGACCATGCACGGCAAAATTCCGAGAGAAAAAGCAAATTAAAGGTAAAAATCTTCGAGCGCCAGTCATAGAGTTCCTGAGCGAAGGACATGAAAGTATTTTGAGGTGTGAGAGTGAAAATGAACAAGACAAAGTAGTCGAAGTTTACACGAAGAAATTCCCAGATTGCTGCATGGAGTGCTTCACGTTTAAAGAAAGTGATTATGACATATGGTCACGCACGAACTACTACTGACGTCCCTTCCTCGACAAATTAATAACAAATTTGTGGTTTAATATCTCTCATTGGTCCAAAATTATGAAAGAGCGTTCAATTTGGTTCTGTAGCCCAGTTCCAAGTTTTTCCCTGAAAAAGCTTTTTTACAATCTAGTCTAGCCTTGTTAGTCGATGAATAGCATGGTTGTGTGTACGTCCAAAACTGCGTCTTTGACACTTCCTCTCTTGGAAGTGCTTTTGAATGAGTAATTCCGCCGTAAATTATCAATACATCACCAAAGAGAGAGGTGATAAAAAAAAAAGGGGAGGAAAGTATCAGCTAAGAGATTATTGTTTGATTTGCATAAGTGATCAGCCGATTACGATTACAGTCTGGAATAAAATGGAACGAGTAAAGTTTTTAAGGAAGAGTTCGCTTGGAAGAATTTGTTTGGAAAAAAATATACCAAAACAATGGTGAAGGTGAAGTATTGAGAAAATTTTAGTAAAAGGAAAGAATGCCAGATTCATATTACTGGTCCTACAAGAATCGATGATCAACTTTATTTAGATCATTTCATACATGGGACTGTGATCATGAAAGTGTCAAACAATTTGAAAATTTGTTCCCTTTTTTATAGAGCAAAATAAATGTAACAGTCCCTGTCACTGGTGCTTAACAGTAACGGCTATCAGAATAGACTTTCTCTTTACATTATATAAAACAACTGTTGGTGAGAAAGGCAAGTTAAAAGAACTTAAGAGATGATCAACTGGTTCTGAGTGTCTTCGCGTCGTACAGCAAATGTTCATTTTCATATTTTCCCCACGGGGTAACCAGCACGCTGTTGAGTATGAAAATGCCAAACTAAAAACGAAAACTGCATAACAGCCATAACAGGGTGAGCTGAATGCAGCTAAGTTCAATATTCAATGAATAAATCCTGTTTATCAAGATATAACGGTAATTTTTTCTTAGCTATATTACATAAATAGCTTAGTTTTAAAGTAAAAGACTGATCAAAGGATACGAATTTTCAAAGTAGCGGTGGGAGGAGGAAAAGGAAAAAGAGCCGCATTCGAGAAAGTAAACAAGGAGTTCTCCTTCAAATTTGGGAATCTCTGAATCCCAGATCCTTGCCCTGTTGAACATTTTCTAAAGGAGTGTTGGAATTATTTTTCAGTAACCTAACGCCAATCACACTGTCTGATGAAAAATTAAAACCGCCGCGAATTGCGGTTATTCAAGTTGGGCGTTATTTACAAAGTTTTTTATGTTAAACTCTGGTTGGTTCCTTGTGAGTCTTGTGATCCTCGATTAACTATGTTGTGATGTGAACGTTTTTTCTCACTGGTTGAAGTATGTATTTACATTCGACGGAACTAAACTGTAAGTAGCAGTGCTAAAAGAATGTAAATATTTTCTTATTGGTATGTTAGCACGTGGGCCGCTATGGCGTTAACTGAGTCTTCTGTTGTATAGCGTATTTAAGCTTTGACATTTCTAATGTATTCATCTCAGCTCTCGAACTTTTCACTTTCTACGTTAAATTTTATCTCACATGTAATTAAGCTGTTTTACCTCTAACCTCCCGAGGTTGGTGCGCCTGCATTTGGATGGGGAATACGTTCCCATTTTACCCCGTTGGGTTTTTCGGGTTTTCGTATCGAGCGGCGGAACAAAAACGTTTTAGCCCGAGAAGTGATGACTAGTTGTTTATTATCCTGTGTAAATTTGTCGGACGGCATTAAATACTCGGGCTCCTAGTTCGAGTTGCACACCTACGAAGTTACTAAGACAAAGCGCTCTGAAATGAAACTCTTCTCAGCCGTGCTAAGCCGTTAAAAGAAATCAGGTAGCCTAAAATCGACTAGAATCGTAAAAACAGCAAAGGTGAAACAAATATACAACTCATTGAAATTATTAGTGTATTTTTCTGACCTACGCAGCGTAAACAATTACGGTAATATTATTCCTCTGCAGAAAACATTTATCGACCACTTATGCAAATTCATCTTTAACTTCTAATGACATCTGTTTTGGCCAAAATTAGACCTTTGTGCCATGCAAATTCGAAACAAAGTTGTTTTTTTATATTGTTATATACTTTGTTGCTATCATAAGAAAAATATAATAACTATCAATTTAGCTCGCTTAGGACCGACAAAGTGTTCACTTTAACGACTATTTTTTGGCAATCAAAGGGAAAGAAAAAGATGTCATTTTCGTATTTTCTAGTTTTGTTTGCTGTCGCCTCCGCGACCATTTATTATAGTCACTCTGTTCGAAAGCAATTGCTTCTAGGGACAGGTGAACCTCTCCAGTTGTTTTGTCTACAACTGTCGGAAGCTTAACCATGGACTTTAAATTATGCTTTTGTGCCTCGCTGGTTTTAACATTGATATTCAAAGGAAAGAGTTTATTATTTCCACGCTTGTAAATGTTATTCTCCTCAACCACTTCTCCGCTTGAGCTGCTATTCCTGTCGACTTTCTGTGAATTTTTCGCAGATTCACAATTTTCCGACTTCCGCGCTATTTGTGGTAAGCACCTGATGTTGCTAGGTTTCGAATATTGAAGGTGTCCTTTGGAATAAAATATTCTTTTCAGATAGCATTTGCCAGGTTTATCCAGCTTTTCATCTTGGAAAGTGCAATCTTTATAAAATGGGCTAGAGTTTTCAGAATCATTTTCCAGTTGAGAGGAACCAGTAGTCTTCACATCCTCAAAGGGTTCGAATGTCTGTTCGGTCTTCAGTGAATCCACATCATGACTGCAAGGAGGCTCGTTTTTCTCAAAAACTCTCTCCCCTTTCCTGTTTTGGGCTTTGCTTATTTTCTGTCGTTTAGGCTTTTTTTCTGCAGTACTTTTCTCAAAAGTATCTACAGAATCATCACAGATTTTGCTCAAGCGAGTGATGAATAAATTTTCTTCGTGTATATACTGTTTTTTCATATTAACTTTTGACGCATAACAACACAACTTCGTTCGATTTGGATTCTCCCCAAAGCTTTCAGTACCTGCGAAATATCGAGTTTTCTCAGGGAAACCAACTGTTTTTATCTTATCATTGACGGCAAGCTCATTCATATTCAAAATTCGTAGTTCTTTGTCTTGCTTGGAAGACTTAGCAACTTCTTTCCAACTGAAATCGAGTGATCTCGTGTGAGAAAAGTTCACTTTCTTTCCAGAAAAAACAGCCTTGTCCAAAAATATTTGGTCCTCGGTGGCTTTGGTGGGGATAGAAGATTCTGTTTGTAGACCTCCCTCAGAAATCACATACATCGTAGCTTTCCCAAACTCCAATGCATTTTTACCTCGTGTATTTCGATCGGTGGCCATGTTGCTACGTATATGTCTCGCAGGGTTATTCATCCCCTGCCTTTTCACCGTCCACTAACGAATTCTGGTCGTAAAAATTCTTAAATTCTCGATCCGTGGTTTTTCCTTGTTTGGTTTTTTAAAGATCTGTGTTTGAGGACAGCTGAAATGTATCTGTGATCTCAAGCCGCTCCTTCCTGAAGTCTTTGTTAAGGAAATGAAGACGATTAAAAGCTTGTACGTCAATCTGGTAGGAAATGAAGCTTTTCACAGAGAGCTAACGCGAAGTCTTGCATTAATGAAAGTAACATCCATCAAAAAGACTCTCTTTCACGTGTCGAATGAGCCACATTCCCTTTCTTAAATATTTGGTTTAAACTGCGCCTACTCAAATATTCATCACGACGAAAATGTACACAAACAGCCTTGAAAGCAAGAGAGCGAGAGAAAATTGACCTCTTCTTACAGTATCTTTTCTTTCCTTCTCATGCAGTGACACAATCGGTGATTAACAGCTTTGTTTTGCACTGATCCCAAACAAAAGAAAAGCAGAATTGATTCAGACTGTCAATTAAGCGTGAAATATTTGCAATTACTAAGCCAGTAAGTAAAAGAATACAACTGATTTGGTACGTACTTGAACAGTTCTATATTGTTAACGAGGTATTAAGAACACTGTTTTTAAAGGTGGTTCATACTTAAACAAAACAAAAATTATTAACTAGAGGTCACACCACTTCAAGACGTCATTTCCGGTAGATCTCGTGATTTCACTCTGCCATAGTAAGATGACTAGAGTTTTTCAGCCTGTGCGCTGACGTCGTTCAAATCATAGCTGTTGTGATGCTTTAATCGGGTAATTATATAATGCAATTGAGCGAAACGAAAACCAGTAATGAGCAATCCATCATACAGTTAAAAAAGACTCCATTGGGAGTCTTCGGCAAAATTAAGAGGTGGACCGTTAAATTGGAAAGGAGCACCAGGAGCTAATTGTTTAAAAGGCAGATAACTCTGTCCAGCGGTTAAATAACTGTCCAGTTGATAAGTGTTGACAAAACGTACTGCGCTCTCCATCGAATAGAGATGTGCACTATGGATAGCGGCGTTATACACCTTTCGGATAACCGGGCTCTGAATAATTGGTACGTGTATGATCAGGTTATTACAGCGTGCGCTTGGTATGCATTTTTGTTTTCTGAATTACGAAGTAAAAAAATTCCTTGCCCGGATTTCATTCAGTGTGCCCCTAGAAAAATCTCTAAAATGACTTTTACGCTTTTTTTAAGTCATTCTTTTGTTCACCATAGAGTCTCCAGTAGCTCAGTGGTTAGAGCATCCGACTAGATCCCGAAGGGTCGTGGGTTCAAGTCCCATCTGGGGCTCATATTTTCTATTACACTAAAAATTCTTTTGTTTGAATAAGATTAGTAAAAAAGAAAAAAAGAAAAGAACTTCTAGCGCTCATTCTATTTATACACCTCGAAGGACACAGCCGTCAAAAGAAAAATTAAAATGCTTAGTGCTATTTTGTTCGAGGATAAAAAAAAGTTAAGAGAGCGCGAAAATCGTTTTCTCCATCCAACAATGTGCATGCATTGAAGATTTGACAGACTGCGGCCTTCAATCATTGTCTAACTTCTGTCCCAAGTCACTTAGGCTAGATATTATATGGGCGTCTGATTAGGGTGAGTCAACATAAAGAAGCTTGCGATCGTTTATCTTTGATGTGGAGACAATGGGGGAAGGCGTTGCACGTGCACGTGCACGTGCACATGTAATTCACAGTAAATTAGCATTCGTAACCTGTTGCACGTGCTTTTGCAATGTAGAGTAAAATCAGCATATCTAGTTTGTTAATTACGACTTTGACTTTACGGAATAAAGTTATCCCTGCATCGAGAGCACCACCTTATCAACAAAGGGTGGGGCGGGGAAAGGCTTTTTGAACGTCGCTCAACCCCTTGGTACAAACGATTGTATCTATCTTCTATTAGGACGCTGTACACGAGTCATCCGGTTAACCATTCTTTAGCAGTCAGCCTCATTGTTTTTTCGCCTGCCTAAAAAAGTCCTCTAGGTCTTATTATCCAGGGGACAGGAAGGGCAACATTTTTCAGGCGTAGAGTACTTTATTTTTTTCATTGGTACCATAAACGGCAGTAGTGTTCCCTGCTTTCCAAATGCACTGTCATCATCAAAATGCGATTTGGAATCTCTCTACATTGGTACCAAGTGGTGGTCAAACAAGGATTTATATCAACGGCCCGGAGAATGAGGAAAATTATAATCAACAGTGACATGATATGAGTTAGAAAGTGACAGACTTTTACTTTGTACGTTGTCTGTGAACATTTTAATCTACCTCAAAGTGTAAAATTCAAATTACAACAAAGTGTACATTTCCACTAATTTAACGCATTTCACCTTCTGGTGGGAATAAGACAACGATACATGAAGCAGCAGAATAATTTGTTCCCAAGCCTCCGTCATTCAGTGCAGACCCGGTATAAAGATAACAGGGATCTGAGTGTGCTTGATGACGTAATCACTGACTCCACCTAACAATGTGCGCCGCAGTGTTGACATCCCGCGGCCTCCCATCACAATGCAAGTCACCTTCTCTTGACCAGCTATTCTGTGAATGGTCTCGCCCGGTTTTCCAAACTCTACCTTGATTTTCGCCTTAAACTGGAACATAAAACGAAAAGAAAAGCAAAACTAGTATACATGTAGTTACCTTTTAAAAAAAATGTGAAAATACGGCCATGATATCTTACAATATCAAAATGAATACCATTCATGATTCCCCACAGATGAATAGTATTTTTCGCACGCGTTGATTGGCTAGTTCGGAAGTGCTACGAGCAGCCGATGAGACAAATTCGCTCCTCGAGAGTTTCATTTCCGACAATTTTGGTATATTGAAAGAAATAAACCAATTTTTTGGTTTTTATGTGGTATGTCCTCAAACAATTATTCACCTCAATATCGGTGAAAATGAATAATTGTGAACTATAATTAGGTTTTACCCTCCTCTCTTCGCACTTGTGTTTGTACTTCTCGATAACCTTGTCCTTTTTCTCGTCGTGTTCTTTTAAAGTTTGTTTCCATTCTTCTGAATGTGCTGAATCTGCAAGTAAATATATGGGAAGGAATTTATGCGAGAGGTTTAGGGAAAGTANAAACACTATGACCCTCCCCCGGCTGCGTATCAAACAGGTTTGACCCTCCCCAATTTGTAAAATATTTACTAATGACCCTCCCCTCCGAAGCCCCGGCCCATCCCCCCCCAAAATAAAAAACGTACCTTCCCTTAGGAAAACAAAACCCCATTGTCACAGATTATTCCCGCAGTTTTAGGAAACTAAGAACCTGTCCCATGAAAAAAAAGAACAGATTGCGCACCAGATGATAATGCTACAAATAAAACGGTTTAGTGATAGCCCTTAAAAAATGTCTAGCATTAATCTCAAAAAAGATACGATCTGTATCTTATTTGTATGAACAAACTACTTCGCCTTAATAATTATCAGAATACCGACGGAGAGATCATCGAACGTGAATTTAAGCTAAATGGAACCCGTATGCTTCTCTTGAAACAACTGAATCTTACAACTGAATAGAGAAAAATGGTTCGTTTTTTTTTTTTACCAAACGTGGAAAAATAAAAATCTGATTCTCTCGTGAGAAATCAAACATCAGACTCCCTTGTCTAAGGTCATGCAGTTCCAGATCTTTCAAGGGGACATTTTTCTATCACAGACGATTAAGCTCAAAAAAAGTTTCCTCTTTAAATCACATCTATTGGAATTAGAATTGGAAGGTAGAACGTAACTGAGTCAAATACTAAGGTGAAAAACTTTTAAGGCAGTACAAACACTTACGTAACAATGCTGGAGGATCAAGCTTCTCGTGACAGTACAGCACGATCAGGGAGTTCTCTTCTCGATGAATATGATTCAAGTACCCTACAAACATGAACAAAGCTACACCTCTGAAACTGAATGTAACGGTGGTGAGCGAGAAACTTAAAGAGTGAATATAGTCTGAGTGAAAACCAGCCCTAAAAACAAATAAAAAGTCAGCTATAAACAAATCATGGACAGCAACAACAGAAATTTAGCTTTAACCAACTTTAGTGATAAGCACCATTGCAATTCCAACATCTTAAAAATTTGAAGATGTAATGCTTTCCATCAAAAAGTTCTTTTCCTTTTTTCAAGTCCGCCTGCAATGGTGGCTGTATCTCTAGCTTACACTAACGGAGATGGTTTGCAGCTATTGCGTCACGCCATCGTGACCTGACTGAAGAAATAGTTCTTCAAAGGAGAGGAATCAATAGCCAACAGCGTATTTTTATTTCACCGAAAGGAGAGAGGAAATGACCACCGCCTGATAGAAAACGTCAAGGCTCGTACCCAGGCCTCATGGCCATCTCTTCCAGTTGTATATTTCAAGAAAGTATGCCAGAGGTGAAAAAAAAAAAAACGTCATGTCTTGTTTAAGTCTGTCTTCTTCACAACATACCACAAATTGTCGCCCAAATAGATATGAATAATGAAATCCGGCAAAGGCCTGATGAGATTTTGTAAACCTAAACATGTTCACTGAATCATTTGAACTGACCCTGCTTTCCTACGGGTGATATGCCTTTTTTTAATTTTCTACAACCTTCTTCCTTAATACGGCTTTAAAACTGATTGCCGACTTTGACCATAGGACGGTAACAGACGCTAGGCTTGCCCTACATTTCTATTTTTAGCCAAAGCGGATTGATTTGAAATAACAAAAAATTAAAATTTAAAAAACAGAGAACCAGAAGAGAAACAAACCGCAATCCATTGCCATTTCAGCTGAAATCTGCCTTGTAAATTATTCACCGTTGTGAATTATTCATCGTGTACGAAGACTGATTTCACATGACAGTTGTCGCCTCGAGGAATTCAACACTATCACTTATTTCGTGCATTATTGTTTACGATTAAGTCGCCTAAAACATTTAATTTGGACGTTTTTCCGGTAAAAACCTTTGAAAAAATCATACGTATACATATTTTCATGCTAAGGCTTCATTATAAGCAACGTGAAGAGGATGTTGACCAAACAAGAAAGCTAAGATGCGATGAAACACAATCAGGAAACATCCTCTTACAAGCTTGTTATCAAACAGAGGGTTGGAGAAAATGATAAATCGATTTCGATTAAGTTTTTCTTTTTCTTTTTTAAAGGAGGTAGTAGTCACACAAAGCCAAGATTACTCTCCCTAAACGCTAGATGCCCACAGCAAAAGTGCGATTCCATAAAGGAACATGACATAATGTAAAACTGATGATTTCAATTTTCATTTGAATATAATGATCTTCAGTCTTTTTCCGCAACACAGATCATGACTATGATATTGGGCCCGAATTTGTCTTTCTTTTAAGCAATGCCAAAAAAAAATGTTTTGATTAAATCAGATTTAAATCCGCCCAATCTTAATTCAGTTTCTTCTCAGTAAACCGAAAAAAAACTGATTGTATAATTTTCGGCATTTTCCTAACAGAGTCCGAAATTTGCGACATCTTATGTTATCAGTGTGTACTTACGACAAACAAATCTACCAGTGAAATCTGCAAAAAATTATTCAATTGAATTTCCTATTATGCGGTATTGTACACGGGAGCTCTTTCTCAACGTCTAGAACGATACTTAAGTCATTCTTGATATCATGTTTGTTTCAATTTGAAATTGAAAGCTATAGTAAGCCATATGCATTGCTGAAAAAATAAACGCTATACAGTGGTTAGTGCTATTACTGCAAAACCGACGCCGCCGTCAAATGCGAAGCAGTCTCCTATCGTCTCTACATCGTGTTTCGATAAAACTTTCCCTAAAATAATCTATTCTCTTTCCCTCGCTTTTTCTCTAGGCAAGCGGGCGCGAATCGACTGACAACCGGAGAAGAAGATGAAATCACTTACCCTCCACCAAAACAGCTAAACTCTAATTTCTTTGGAGAAAAATTGTTTCCATCTGAATGAATTAGCACACGATATTTCTTACTCACATTCAAACGCTCTCTCGCTGTGCTCACACTCGTCGACTGCGATCAAGACTGTTCTTGAGTTTTCCGCCATTCCACCGTGCTCGCCCAAGCCTTTAGTTCAACAATTAACCTGCGTCCGCTCCTTGCAAATTAGCAATAATGTAGTGCTAAACATTTATTCGCCCTATAGAAACCTTAACCCCGAGCGTCCAACTGTCAACGGCATATGTAACAACTCACTCATCGGTAGGAGCTCTTAGCGTACTGCCAAAAAACAAAGCGACTACTGCAGGTGCGAGATGCAATTATTTTCTTATCGCTTTCTCTAAGTTTGTGAATTATTAATGGTTTCAGCATTCATTTGACTTGC